CTTATAGGAGCTGCATACCTGATGTTTTGGTTTGGTTTAGTATTGTTTAGCGTCCTATCAACAGCTATGGNTAAGCAGGAGTAGAAAGTTTCATTTTTTACAGACTCTGGTATGTCTCGGCCAGGGGACAGAACCCAAAGCCTTCCTCACAGGGGTGAACGCTCAACTAAAGGCCAAAAGTGAGGTATTGTCAAGGGAGACATTAGGAAGAAGAAAGTTGTTTTAGAAAGAAGAGAAAAGCTAAGATTCCAAATTTAGACGCCTCTTACGATCATGCAATGGGGGCAGCAGGTTACAATTCTTACACCCTACGTGTATTGGAGGTGTATTCCTGATGTATAGGAGGTGTATATCTGATGTATTGGAGGTGTATACCTGATGTATTGGAGAAGAGGTATATACCCCTGGTGCATGGGAGGTGTATAGCTGATGTATTGGAGGTGTATACCTGATGTATGGTAGGTGTATACCTGATGTATGGTAGGTGTATTCCTAAAGTATGGGAGGTGTATACCTGATGTATGGAAGGTGTATTCCTGATGTATGGGAGGTGTATACCTGATGTATGGAAGGTGTATTCCTGATGTATGGGAGGTGTATACCTGATGTATGGGAGTTGTATTATACCTAAAAACAAGAGGCCCAAGAGGGCCTGTATCGCTCCCCTGAATATTTAAGCAGTCATAGCAAAATATTCTCATTAAATATTATATTGCACTAAAAATATTTCCCTCACAAACTTTGTTGGCTCCATCTGTTGGAACTACCAGCAAAATATTTTTACAAGATTCTATGCTTTTTGATTCTTCAGAAGTTGCTTGACATATTTTTCCCTGTGACCTTGTAAGTAGGTCAATGTCATTTTCCTTCTCAAATTGGTAAGCTCTATTCCAAAAGCTACCAGCCAAATCTTATGAATCCATTCCTTTTAGTTCTTAAGAACAAATCCATTAAAATGTTGTTGACCTCTGTGACCTTGAAAGTAGGTCAAGGTCACTTTCATTCGCAAACTTTGTTGGGCTCTTTCCCAGGAAATAACCAGCCGAATATTAAGGTTCTATAACTTCCAGTTCTTCAGAAGAAGTCATTTGAAGTGTTTGACATATCTGCCTCATGTGACCTTAAAAGTAGGTAAAGGTCATTTTCAATCTCAAACTTTGTTGGGCTCTTTCCTAGGAAGCTACAAGCCAAATATAAAGATTCTATACCATTCAGTTGTTCAGAAGAAGTCGTTTGAAGTGTCTGACACATTTGACCCCTGTGACCTTGAAAGAAGGTCAAGGTCATTTTCTTCCTCAAACTTTGTCGGGCTCTATCCCAGGAAGCCATCAATCAAATATAAAGATTCTATACCTCTCAGTTCTTCAGAAGAATTAATTTGAAGCTTTTGACACATTTGAACCCTGTGACCTTGAAAGTAGAACAAGGTAATTTTCATTCTCAAACTTTGTTGGGCTCCATCCTAGGAACCAATCAGCCAAATATGAAGATTCTATACCTTTTAGTTCTTCGGGCAGGTGAGCTAAAAATTGGGAGAAAAGTCAATTTTGTTACCAAATGTACCCCTGTGTGATAAATTTCATCTGGAAATGGAACTCAAATATAAGAAATTAAATCTGAATTGGATTATCTTCTAGTGCTTTCAGGTTTGTGATTTAGCATTTCCCAATTGAATGAAGATGATGAGATTAGTTTAACTTCATAAAATGACCCTGCTATAGTGATGTGTGTATAAAAAGTAGTGTGTTTCTGATAAAAATTGTCCCCAAAATTCATCTAAATGTGATTTTTTTCTCCTTAGTTCTTCTTCCCAGGTAACAGAAAATAACATTTTGATGATTGACCAAAGTTTTACCTGGCCTGTGACTGACAAAGAGACCTGATGTGTGATACTGTATGACCGTAATGAGAACACAACTGGACATTAAGTATTTGTTTTTTGTATTCGTTTGGTCTATAGCTCCCCTTCACCTGGATTTTCACACCTTGGCGAGTTACGTAAGTGGAAAACTACAGGTACAGGTATAGTCTCTATGTTTACCTGTATATGGGACCTTGTCCATATGTGTTATTTACATGTGTTGATTTGGGTTGTTGAAATAAACACTGAAAACAAATTTTCCAAATTTCAGGAGGTTTATATATAAAGATCAGCTAGTTCATGTAGCTAGAATATAGAAATATATACATAAAAATCAAGTTTATATGTTTCAACACAAAACCGTATATATTGTTAAGCCGTTTCTCAATTTACACCAACCACAATTGTCATTGCATAATGTTCGTCCATCGTCTTAATTTAATAATTAATTGTATTTCCTGATAAATGTTCTCCATGTATGTAAGATTTGGGAATGTATTTGTTAGATTACAAGATTCTTTACCCCCAGGTCTTTATTAACAAAAGATAGTCATAAGCATTTGGTTGCTTCACCTATCTAGAATATACAATAATTCTATACAACATCTGATACAGCGCCCTATCTAGCTAACATAAGCCACTCTAAAGTGCTTTACAGTACATAGACAATTTATACACTCAATACAATTAGCTTTTACATTAATCAATACCATTTTTAAGGAATTCACAGGAGCTGCCTCATCAGGCACTAACTTCTAGTCCTAAGCCATCTGGCTAATATCTCCCTATGTGTGTATGCCTGTGTGTGTGCTGGAGATGTAATGGGTTCTGTTTGTAGTAAGACCATGCTTCCAACAGCATCATTTATAGTGCCACCTCACTTGAATGCTAAAACACAGATACCGCAACACCCACCCCAGACCATTTTATACTCCACCTGGGTTGTTGGAGTTGTATTGGAAGGAGAAAAACACTTTCTCTGAATATCCATGCGTACGACGACTTCGGTGATCGAAACCCCGGCTGCCTGCATGGTAGGCCGCAGTGTTAACCACTCGACTGATCAGCCCATAGAAGGGAGAATACTCAAAGTAAAAAAAACTCATGCATGGAACTCTTATTGGCGATTATAACTGATGCAGTGGAATTGCCTTTCACTTCTAGTACAATTGTAACTACACTTCTTGTCATCAGAATGCCAACATACAACTATGACAATCGAAGAACAATATACGCTTGTTTGCACTGAAGTGTGACATTTAGTACAAAATTTGAAAAAAAACATTTCTTAAAGATAAAATTCAGAACACCGAATCACTTCTGTTTAAATTTATTTCTTAACATGGCATATTAAATTCAACCATCATGAAAAATTATATATTATATAACTACATACAAATCAATAGAAAAATACAATAGAAAACTTCAACTTCAAAAGATGATAATTTAGGTGTTGTGTTGCCCATAGGAATAGGTAGGACTAGAACGTTAACTAAAACAGTAAAGGTCTCTGAGGTAATAAGATGTTTAAAGAAGTATTTCTTGTAGGAAATCATCAATAATATTATGTAATACATAAACTATTGCTTCTGTTTCACTAGATGTATTGTCCTGTATGTTATTTATCATCAAAGCTATCGTATTAACTTTTTAATGAAAATGCATAATCGTGAAACCTTCCCACGTAAAAGTCAAGTCTTCAGTCACTGCATATCAGCCGATAATATATAGTATACAAATTGGTCACAAAAAGACAGCTGATCACCGCAAATTCCAGTATTGAACTTTTAAAGATCACTTCTTTTTGTAAGGGTAAAAGCCTTCTCCTGTCTTGATTCCAAACTTTCCTTCAGCAACCAGCTTATTCAGCATCGCACTGGGTTCAAACAATGGATTTTCTGGATTCTTTTCATGCCAACCTGTAAACATATTTATATCCAAATTACTTACTTTCCTTTATAAAGTATCCATGGCTCTGCAAAGAGTTTTGTTAAGGCGTAAATGTTAATGAAATGAATTGATTTTATCGAAGGAAGTATAAACTATACCATGGTTTTGATGGGGAAAAAAGGATGATTCAAATAATTAAATTAAAGTAAGCCAGTTTAATTCCTATTCATCCTTGGTCAGGTCATTAACTTTAATGTAGAATTTGAAGAAGATCAAATTGACAGCATTGAATTTTGCTTTAACTGATTTGAATGCATGGGGGTCTTTATGTCAGAAGAAACCTGAGTACCTGGGGGGGAAAAAACACATGGTCAGGCACTGGTGACCTTGCCCTTTCCATATCCAATGGCGGAATCAAACTCCTGCCATCAGGGTGTAAAATGAGTGCACTCTCCACAGCATCACCCGACCACCTGACCATGCCTGGGCCAGATTCGAAAGGCAAAACCTGACCATGCCTGGGCCAGATTCGAAAGGCAAAGTAAAGAGAGCGCTGACACTCTGATCAAAATGCTTACCATCCAGAATAAACTTCATGGTGTCTAAGCCAACGTAGTCGCACAACTCAAATGGTCCCATGGGATACCCAGCGCCCAACTTCATGGCGGTGTCTATGTCACGGGTTGAAGCATCACCTATTAGTAGAGAAAGGATGACCCAATAGTTGTACCTGTTGATATATAGTTCGGAAAGGAGGGTTGGAAGTTAAGTTATTTCTTTTTTAATTTGTTTATAGGTGATTTGGAAGATTGAAAGTTAATTTCACCGACATCAGGGCCAAGTTGTTCAAAGACTTTTCTTTTTTAAAGAATAACACCTCAAGAGTCTTTACAAGGCCTGTACGAAACCCTTTTGTTAATCTTAAAATTTCTAAACCTTTCAATTGGTACAATTGAGTTAATGACCAGAATANAATAAGATTATGACTGGCTTCAGAAGAGTAATATTGGACCCGATCATGCCTATTGTAAACTGTGTACCAATCATTTTTCGGTAGCTTCGGGTGCTACGTACGATATCAAAAGGCATGCAGTTAAAGAACCCTTTGAGAATGATCTTAGGTTTGGTGTGTTGTGTAGGCTAATGAAGACATGTTTGGTACTTTCAGTGAGTAATGCTGACTCTGAGAGAACATTTTCCATGTTGAAGAAGATCCAGACAGAAGGGAGATCTGAATTAGGAAATGACACAATATGTGCTTTGTTATGTGCAAAACTAAATCAACATGGTTCATGCTTTCAGTATGCACCTAGGAAAAGAAAAACATGTATATTGTTTAAGAATATGTAATAAAACAATGAAGGTGTGATAAAATGTTTTGTTAATTTCAAAAAAGTCATTGATCTTGCCAGAAGACGAAACATAATACGCCGTAAAGCAGAGACCCCGCGAAATTATTAAATTTCCACACTAATTTTCGTTCGCGCGTTATCACCCCCCCACAGAATTTCCCAATGGGGGTCATGACCCCCATTGGGAGATTCAAAGGTTAGCAGGTCTGGTAAAACAGCCATTTCGAAAGCTTGCAAAATAAGTTTTCAATTCCTGTTTGTGTTCAAAACAAAGTAAGCCTTTATGAGTTAATGACATTTTAAACTTAACATGCTTTGAATAACTGGGCCCTTAAACATTTACACATGACACATATTTATCAAATAATGTTTATCTTTGATGATATTTATACTATTCAGAAATAAATGCTGTTGAAATAGGGATATGTAGAACTTACCTCTTTCTAGTAGTCGCACTGCCTCTACCATGTACGGTACCAGCAGTCTGTTCACAATGAAGCCTGGCGTATCCTAGATTAAATTATTAAAATATCAAAAACAAGGGAAAATGAGATTCAACATCCACTAGTGGATGTTCAGTGAAATCCTGCGTTGCCCAGTTGATGGATCCCTAAATTGAGTTCACTAGTCCGGGCCATAAGAGTAATACAATGTAGAAATTAGAAATTAAAAATTAAAATTATTCTGGATAATCATAACAGAGTCATCGTAGGAATCTAGAAAAATGAAAGTAGTGCTGAAAATTACTTTTAAAGAGACTCTTGTTATTGATTTATCAACTACATATATTATAAGATCTACTATATGTACCTTGCAATTTACAGTTGTTTTTTGCAGATTTTTTCCAAAGGCCAGTAGCTTATTAAATGTTTCATCACTGGTTTGAGGTATTCGGACTACCTGGAATGAAAAATATACATAAATGAAATAGACTGCTTATAATTCAGTATTAATTAAAAAAATAATGTTTTAGGCCCCATCTTCCTGGCGCATACCTTCCTCTCATGGTCTTCAGTTGTGTAAAACTTTGATATATTTTTTTCTTCAATAGTGTTTATTGCTGTAAGTTGAGGTTTGCAGGTTGATATATTTAAGCATTAAACAGCATTCTGTTCCATGTTATGGTCCTATAACACGGAACAGAACTGCAGACAAAATGATAATTTAATTTGTCTGCAATCCTGTTCCGTGTTATGTCCTGGGACCATAACCCAGAGCAGGATGCTGTTTTATGCTGAAATTTACATTTTTATTTTTATTTAATTTTCATTTCGAAGTTCACAAACCACTTTTAAATTCGAATTACACAGTATGTTTGTTCAAGAGGTAGAAGATCCCATGGAATTGCTCACAGAATTTTGTCTTGTGAATTTTCTCGTAAAAAAATATAGATCGTGGAAATAAACATAAAAACAGCGATACTATTTTCATAATTTAATCATAATAGTCTAACATAACAGGATGAATATAATTGAATCACATTGTTTTTATTACTTATCTGCTTGCCAGTGCGGAGGGGAATAGCGATCCGGTAGTTAGTCGGATACGTGGAGATATCACTACACCTGTGTTATGGTCTCATTACACAGAACTGGCCTTGCTAGTGTTATATAGTGGCAATGCAGAGCAAATGTAAATATGTACTTTTAGATTTTTTCTACTGAATCAACCTTGATGAAAATTCAACACACTTAAAAAATTTACACAAATTAACATAAAATGAACTGAAGGTTTTGCATGTCAGCAACTACACGCACATGCACACACATACATTTTAGGGAATCAGTATTTTCAATTGTTAAATTGCCACAGACTTTGCTTTAGACAAGCTTAAGCTGTTGTTCACCCAAATACCTCAAGCAACTTCATGACAGGGACGGGGTTGAAGAAATGGAGACCACCGAATCTGTCCATTCTCTGTGTGGACTCGGCTATATCCTTGATGGGCAAAGAGGATGTATTACTGGCAAATATGGTGTGTCTGTAACACAAAATTTATACAATTATAGGTAACACACCAGAACAGGTAACGGAACAATGTATACACATTCAAGCATCCTTGATACTGCAGGGAATATGCTCACTTACACTCTCCGATCCCCTGAAATATGTCATAGCAAAATGGAAGGCACGCGGCTAGCTATTTGCTTGGTCTCGGGTAAAAATCCTGACTCATCATTAGGCTGATACCTGTCCTTTGCTATTACATGATTATCCAGGGGTGCAGAGAACGAAAGTGAGCATAACGTCTTAGAGTATCAAGGATGACATTCAGGCTATCATAAAAATATTATAACAGTAATTTCTTATTTCAATGCTATTTTGTTTGGTTTTTAAAAGCGCAAAACTATGACACTTTCAAAACCTCGCTATGCTCGTGACCTTTGGTCCTTTAACTTTGACCAATGACCATTAATTTAATCAGGTGTAAAACTGACATGAGATATCTTAACTAGCTTATATATGCAGCTTTTTTTTTTTGTAATTTTCTTTTTATTCAATTTTTTTTTGCAATATATGGTATATTTACATTCAAACAATTCATATTATATATTCAGACCTCACACGACTCATATTTACTCTTACTTGCATCAGTTGATATTTTTAGACACAAGTACATGTAATGGTACCCATGTACACATTTATTGTCTTTATGAGAACAGAGAGAGAGAGAGAATAGAAAAGAAGAAGAAGGGAAAAAAAATTGCAATGAAAAACAGAGAAAGTCAACAGAAAGAGGAAGAAAAAGGAGAAAATAGTTTTTTTAACTTTATGTTTAGAATAAGATTATAAGATAATCTTCTGTATTAATTGTAAGTAAGGTGCTTTCGGCTTTAAACTGCAAGTAAATACAGCCATATAAAGGTGACTGAGAAATGAGGGTAATATTCAGGACAAAATATATTTATATCATAAAAGAGATCAACTTTAATAAGTTCAGACAGAAACATCAACTTAGATTCACAAAAAAGGGACAAAAAAATATATATTTGGAGTTCAGGCAAGATTCAATGCAGGTATGGTAAAACAGACATAACTGCCAAAAAAAAAAAGTCCTTGTGAAAACTTAGTGTGTGCTGGCTACATGTATGTGCATCAGTGTATTTTCAAAATATAAAATGAGAACTATACCGTGGGAGGAGATGTATTGTATCTGCTGACTTGATGATATTAAATTATTTAATTTTGGCTTATAATTCCAGGAGGTGGTTCCATTTTTTCCATTCTCTTTCCAGTTTTCTTACAAAAATATCCCCCTTGCAACATGCTATATATTTTTGTACAGAATGATGGTCTTTTATGCTGTTAATTAAAGCATTTACTGACAAATTGTTTTGAAGGCATCTTGTTTTATAAATATAGTGTTTGATCATAATTAAAATTTCATTAGTCTGTTACCTATTCCTGACTGTGACACTATTCCGAAAAGGAAGGATTCCTTATTAAAAGAAAATGAAATAATTAAAGCTTTTAGTAATGTTTCAAAACTGTATAGGAAATTTTGTACAATGGCACACTCCCATAATGTATGAATTATTGTTTCCCTATCTAGATTACAAAAAACACAAAGGAACATTAGAGAGACCGGCTTTGCATAGATATACATTTGTTGTCAAAATATTATGGAGAATTCTTACTTGGAGCCAGTTGCCACTGGAGTTTTGATTTGTAGTTGTGCGAAATGGAATTTGATATATTTTCTCCCATTTTGTTGTCCCTAATGTCAAATATTTCTCCCCATTTCTTCCTACCAGTTGGAATAATCTTATTTTCAGAAAGTATTACATAAAAGTCATTAGCTCCTTTGGTGTTTTTGTAAAAAAAAATCCAAATTAAGGGGAATCATTGGATACACTAAGCCTACAGTGGTATTATGCCCAATATTGTTTTGATTAATATATCTTTTAAGAGCTGACAGGATACCATAATACTGCAGAAATTTTGTGTTTAAATTGTATTTGTTATTAAATTCATCATGTGTATAAAATGTATGTGTGGGGGAAATTTTTATCAAATCATTAAAAATAGTAATTCCACATNTGAATAAACACGGAATTCAGATTGAAACTTGCAAGAAACTTTACATTAAAGAAAGATAACCATATTTGGATACGTACTGTGGAGCTGCCTTATCCAGGATGGTAAACAGTTGTCTCTTCACCTCTAAGTTCTCTACAATAGCCTCCACAACAAGGTCTGCATTGCCCACAGCATTGGTGGCATCCGTCTGGATACTCACTCTGTCAATCGCCTCAGATATGAATGCTTCCCCCGCCTGAATGATAAACAATTTAGAAGCATTTAATAGAGATATTTAGAAAAATAATTTCATTTCTAGAGTATGATACCCTTCCTTTCATATTGAAGACTTGTTTTAGTTCTTCAAGAATGGTTTTACAGGATACCAACTGTATACAAGGCATCCCAAGTGATACAAATCCCGTCTCATTCACACATTGTGTGACATATGTACGAGGAAATGAATAGAAAATTCAATGATGTATCAGTTTCTGCTCTAGCAACTGCATTCTTTGATGGATAATAGATTCTTATTGTGCAGTTTGTATATTTTTGCTTGCATAAGAATATCTTTTTGTGTTTTTGATGAGCGATGACAAAGTTTTCTAAAAATAAGAAAAGTGACCTTGACCTTTAAAGCAGTAACCCGACACGCAAACTTGGTAAAGGCATTGTCATACAAAACGCTTGCATCAAGTTTCATGAAATTCTGTTGAGGAATTAAGTCACTAGAGCAATGAAAAAGTTTTTCTAAAAACAAGAGGCCCAATGGGCCTGCATCGCTCACCTGGTATTTATCTCACAATTGCAACCTTAAAAGTGGACTGAAATATAGCTACAGGCAAAATATCAGTGTCTTGACTTAAGTCATTCAGAAGAACCTGTTATACAATTAAAACACATTTGACCCCTATGACCTTGAAAGTCAAACACTTACATTATATTTAGCCCTATACCTTTTGTTTACTGAGAAGCTGACTTAAAGCAATCACCCTGGACACTTTAGTTATTCAGGAGAAGTCGTTTTTTTAGAGTTTTTAAGACAATTGACTCCTGTGACTTTGAATATGAGCAAAGGTCATTCATTTAAACAATGTTGGTAACCCTTCATCCCAACATGCTACTGATCAAATATCATCACCCTTGACCTTTTGGTAATTCAGAAAAAGTTATTAAAAGATTTCAACATATTTTACCCCTGTGACCTTGAATATAGACGAAAGTCATTCATTTGAACAAACTTGGTAGCCCTTCATCCCAGCATGTTAATGGCCAAATATCATCATCCTTGGCCTTCTGGTTATTCAGAAGCAGTTGTTTAAAGAATTTAACATATTTGACCCCTGTGACCTTGAAAATGGGCAAAGGTCATTCATTTGAATAAACTTGGTAGCCCTTCATCCCAGCAAGCTACTGGCCAAATATCATTAGCCTGGGCATCTTGGTTATTCAAAGAAGTTGTTTAAGTAAAATGTTGATGACGGACGGACGGAAGACAAACGGGCAACAGACGCCGCACCTTTGGGCCAGGTGAGCTAATAATAACAGTGACCTTGACCTTCAACATAGAAACCAGAAGCGCAAATTTGTTCAAGGCATTGCCACATCAAACACTTGTATGAAGTTTCATGAAATTCTGTTGAGAAATGAAGTCGCTAGAGGGGTGACAAAGTCTGTACCACTCATACATAAATACGGGCTGAATCCTATGTCCCTTCAAACTTTTGCTGCGAGGGGATAATGAGCCAGAAAATTATATCTGTCTTTACTTGGAACATTCATCAAAATTCAATTATCACTTGAGTTTCTTGCACTTATACATTTATTTAAGCATTGAACTTAGCGCGCATTATGTTGTTTGTGTTGCAAAGCTGTGTCATTCAAATAGATCATAAATACCATACAAAAACAGTTCAATACTTATATTTACGTTTTCTCTCCCTCTTATGTTCTTTTTATCTTATAATTTATATTTAAAATTAAAAATGCCCGCCTCATCAACAGTCCACACAATTTCGTTCAATAGTTTGAACAGCGTATTGTCGTGTGCTGATTGGCAAACAAAGTAGTACTTTGAAATTTTAACAAACACTTAAATTTTATTCCACAACTCAGTATCAATACAATTGCGTATGATATGTATATAGGGTGATTTAAGTTAATCAATAGAACTCTGAGCTGAAAGTTAGATTTTAAATTGTTTTGGTTTTTTCCCCCGGAACAAATACATTGAACACCGTAAATCCGACCTTGCCCTCCACGCGGGAGTTATTTTTGGAAGTTGATTCAAACTTTTCTCTTTGCTCATTTTGTGAAGAATCCAGTTGTGAATTTATTTGTTGATTGTATGGGAACCTGACAACAGTCGATAGATTCTATAACAGCCTCGTTATTTGACCTGTCGTCAGAATTAAACTGAGGAACCATAGATGCGAGACGCGTGAAACTGATAGCGTTTGAAGTGAGTGATCTTTCGACGGAGCACAGGTTCGTTACAAATGTCTGAAATGTTTATGTGTGCTGTGACTCATATCAGTAGGTCTGTAACATATGTGTCAGTAGGTCTATATAATGTGTATTTCAGACATTTGTAACGAACCCCTGTTGATCAGTGCAGTGTAACAGACCACAGGAACTTGAATTTCTATCAGAATGGTCTATTTAAGCTCAGAGAACTGATTAAGCCCAATATATACCCCCCTTACCGTACCTGAGCTTAAATAGACCATTCTGATGAAAATTCAAGTTCCTGGGAACAAACGATATTTCTGATAAGTTGCATGAGCGATATTTCAGCAGCCGTCATGTTAATTTATATTGGATATTGTAGTTCCGGTCAGTGTTGTATTAATACGCTAAGAATTGTGTCTCGTGATGCATGGTAATTCAAGTCCCATCAACGACACAGCTTTCAAAGAGGCTATATAGTGACAATGCCATGCAAATGTAAATATATATATATATTCTAAAAAAGTATATATATACAATTATCTGAGTTTATCAGGGGTTTCAGACCCCAGGATGAAATTGGGGAAAAAATCTGAATATATGAAATTAAACATTTGCTGCATTTTGAATTCAACTGGTCAAAGGGAGTCATTTTAATTCTTGCACTTTATTGCATTAGATTTCCAAAATGAAATTTTAAGTATGTAAATTGGGGAAAAAATCACTCACTCTTTCAATTAGGAATTGGTTCTTTAAAAGGACCAAAAAGTTAGACTAATGAACTTCTGATTGTAGAGGTTTGATGTAATATATCCATGCAAAATCAACAGTATGTTACAGTGTACCCTATTTCTCTACTTTAAGTAAATTTATCAGACATACTCATATTTGATGATTTCATCTGATAGAACAGCTCAAAACATGCCATTTAAAAGTGCTATTTCCCCCTAGGGTGTACATACATACACACAACTTATTCATACTCGTAATTCATAGCAGCACACATATTATCTCCCCCATAGAAATTTCAAAAAGTTGACTAGTATGAAATTTTACTTGTGATTCAAAAAAAAAAAAAATTTTGTCAATAACTATATAAAAATATGTATTTAATTTTTAAACTTATTAATGATTCAGAGCTGTGTGCAGAAAATAGAAATGGACAGTTATTTCCACTGGTTTGTAAAGTTGTGACAAGCTTTTAGAAAGTTGTAACTTTTTATCCCATGTAATATGACCTATCAGCCCTGTCATTGGTTGCGAGTTTCAATTGTTTCAATTGTGACGTCCCGCCTAGGACAAGTACGTGACATCACAGATTACGCACTGGAGTCAAAATGGTCATGATTTTTTTCATCATAACTCACCAGAGGCCCGCTAAATTGAAAAAGATTTACGCTCGTTTCACACATCTCATATAAAATGGAAATTCATGTAAGATCCTTTATGTATCGATGACCAATGTTCTTTGTATTTGTATCGTTTTTTCTTGTGATATTATCTGATAAAAAGGACAACATTTGAATGATGAAAAAAAAAAAAAAAATTTAAGTGAATGATAAAATTCTACAAACTTTAGCATCGTCAGCAAACTTTTTCTTGGCTACTCTTTGCAGACTTTTGTGAATTGAAGCCTTAGACTTGTTCAGAATGTCCTCTGATTGATCCACAATTACCACTTGATGCCCAGTAGTTGCTGCAACCTGCAAATCAAATTAGGGATGTTTAAAATCATACTAGAATCTATTAAATCATATAAAAATAAAAACGGCATTTTTCAAGTTTACAAATCATTTTTCCTTTTGAAATTTCCAGTGGATAACCTTTTACAAGGTCTCTACAAACAATAGCTACAGGGAAGTCCAAATTACTAGTTGTGTAACTCAATTTTGCCAGATGGGGATTTGAACCTAGGGCCTCCAACTCTAGACAGACACTCTTAACATTACGCAGCCCATGGAAACACACTACATGCCTCCCCTCTTTTTTAAAAACTCTTTCCATTTAAAGACAACACTGTTAAGAACCCAGGTTTGGTATTCCCTTGCCGAGTAAAAATACATTTCTTAAACAAGAACTCTGGTCACAAGCACTGATGTACCAGGATTCAAACCCAGAACCCAACACTCTCTGGACAGTTATACTCAAAACATTATGGAAACCTCTAACTCGGGAGAAATATTGAGCTACCTGGTCATGGGTAGTCACCCAGTACAGTCACGCTGCAGTTGACTGGAATATTAACTAATCTTGATCATGATGTACTTAAATCTAGCTGCTGTAGTTATCTCTAGCACAAACAGAAGAAATATTGCCTTTCAGTTTCAGGGCTTTCATTAAACCCTTGAGAGTATCCAAAATGATATTTGACTTTTTTTTGATATTTTACAAGTGTTTTGACCCTTTAAATTCAGAGAAATTTTTATTTGACACCTGAAATTGCTACATGTCAAGATACAGATTAACTGATGAAAGCCCGGTCTCTGTGGGGCATCAAATCTTCCTTTTGATATGGAAGTAAGGTGAGGTGAGGTCATTTAAGGATGTACCTCCATGTATATTGTGGATGCGTGAATGTGTGTATGTGTGCTGGAGACAGGGTATTTTGGGTACTTGCCTCCTTGTGATAGCGTGGATCTGATGCATACTTTATAGTGCTATCTCATTGAAATACCATACCGAAGGCACCACTCAAAGCATTCCGCCCAGTCACATTATATTGACAACCCATTGCCTTCATCACCTGGGCAAATATTCAACATTAAAGTGAGGTATTGCCAAGCAAGGCAATCGGAAATAAAAGATAGTTAGAAGTAGAGAGAAAATCCCAATCATTGCAATTGGTGCAGCATATTTATTTTGGTTGCTTTTGTGTCCCTAAGTAGAGGGAACTAAAGCAAATCCTCAACTCTGCAGGGGGGTCCAACATCAGTCGCCTCTTACGATACATATAGTGAGTAACAGCAGGTGACTCTCAATCCCCGACCTGTAGGGGTGAGTGAGGTGAGGCCATGACAAACTCTGGCAATCTTTGTTTGTAATACATATCATCAAGATACCCATTTATAAAAGAATTTCCACTGCAAAAAAAGACTATCACAAAATAACGAGATCCCAGGGGCCCACCATTTTAACATCTTCATTAGTTCTATATCTGTTTGATCTTTTCTCTTCTTTTCTCTTATCTGTTTGTTTATACATATGTAGAACAACCTTAGGTGACCGCATTTTTAGTACTTCAGGGGTATAAATAATAATAGAAAATACTAAAATTTTGTCCTGAAGAAGCCCATTGTACATGTAGGGGCGAAAACCGGTTGACTTCCGGGAATCCAGACGAGGAGCAAAGGACCAAATTATTCCACCATTAAGAAAATCATGGCGTTGGCTCTACCCTTGCCTTAATTTAATTAATAAGTTACAGTATTTGAGATACACATATATATTAGACCGTTTCAAAGTCAGAATAAAACAAATTGCCACTGGATCTGTGAATGATGATAATGAAAAAAGCTCTATTGGCACATAGAGCATCTGCATTTGCTACCATTCCAGTATGATATGAGTTTTCTAAAGTCCTTAAAGAGGTAGCTGTCATGACATGGTCAGGCAAAGCATTCCAAGTAGAAGCAGCTAAAACTGTGTTCCATATTTAACAGTCTTAGTTCTGGACATCAGCAAGTCTACTGTATACAAGAGATCCCAAAGGGATCTTGGCGCCCACCTTTGAACCATCTTCATTAGTTCTTTGTCAGTTCGATCTTTTCTCTTCTTTCCTCTAATCTGTTTGATCGAGTCATGTTAACAGTAAATGCACCTGGAGGTAACTTTTGATCTAAACTTAATACCGATGTGAATGAAAGCCAACCTTCAAAGTGAGTTTGGCATTTCACATATTTACTAGTTCAGTACTTAATGTGAAAGAAATAGAATCGATCATTGCAATATGAGAAAGATCTGTTTAGTTCTTCTTTTAATCCATTTTGTTTTTATGATCAGTCTCAAAATATAACATACACAACGAGGGATCAAGGGGAACCTACATTTAAAATTTGAGAAAGATCCCTCTAGTACTTCCCGAGAAATAGCGATAACAAACTTTCACTATCAAAATCCAAGATGGCTGCCTGTCGGCCATGTTGTTTATCCGATCAGTCTCTAAAATTGCCCTGCACAGCTAGGACCAAGGGGAACCTACATATAAAATTTAAGAAAGATCCCTCTAGTTCTTCCGGAGAAATAGCGGTAACAAACCTACAATATCAAAATCCAAGATGGCTACCTGTCGGCCATGTTGTTTATCCGATCAATCTCAAAAGTTGCCCTGCACAGCTAAGGACCAAGGGGAACCTACATATAAAATTTGAGAAAGATCCCTCTGATACTTCCCGAGAAATAGCGATAACAAACTTTCAATATCAAAATCCAAGATGGCTGCCTGTCGGCCATGTTGTTTATCCGATCAGTCTCAAAAGTTGCCCTGCACAGCTAAGGACCAAGGGGAACCTACATATAAAATTTGAGAAAGATCCCTCTGATACTTCCCGAGAAATAGCGATAACAAACTTTCAATATCAAAATCCAAGATGGCTGCCTGTCGGCCATGTTGTTTATCCGATCAGTCTCAAAAGTTGCCCTGCACAGCTAAGGACCAAGGGGAACCTACATATAAAATTTGAGAAAGATCCCTCTGGTACTTCTTGAGAAATAGCGATAACAAACTTTCACTATCAAAATCCAAGATGGCTGCCTGTCGGCCATGTTGTTTATCCGATCAGTCTCAAAAGTTGCCCTGCACAGCTAAGGACCAAGGGGAACCTACATATAAAATTTGAGAAAGATCCCTCTGGTACTTCTTGAGAAATAGCGATAACAAACTTTCACTATCAAAATCCAAGATGGCTGCCTGTCGGCCATGTTTTTTATCCGATCAATCTCAAAAGTTGCCCTCTACAGCTCAGGACCAAGGGAAACCTTCATATAAAATGTGAGAAAGATCCTCATGTTACTTCTTGAGAAATAGCGATAACAAACTTTCACTATCAAAATCCAAGATGGCTGCCTGTTGGCCATGTTGTTTATCTGATCAGTCTCAAAAGTTGCCCTGCACAGCTACAATATGTAAGGACCAAGGGGAACCTGCAAATAAAATTTGAGAAAGATCCCTCTGGTACTTCTTGAGAAATACTGATAACAAGAATTGTTTACAGACGGATGACGGACGGCGGACCACTGACGCAGGGTGATTTGAATAGCCCACAATCAGATGATGGTGGGCTAAAAAGAGTAAGATGAGGTTTTCTCATGGATAAAATCTTGTAAAAAACATGGACTGGTTCCATTTAAAAGCTTAACAGTTTCTATAGCTACAAGTCTAAGCCTATTGATATGAAGGGTAGACAAATTTCCCTTTTCAAGAAGTGTCTCATAACTTGAGTTGAACTCTTGATACACAAATTTTAACGCTCTAAAATGGATTATTTCAAGCTTCTGTGAGTTTGATTTTGAGCAAAAATGCCATGTATACTAAAGGACAGAAACTTAAATTTGACAAGATAAAGGCGTGATAAATGGCCCTGCACGCCTCCAAGGTTAGATACCTTCCAAGGCGCCCAAGTACAATTAATCTGCCTAGATGCTTTTAAGCATGTATATCAAGAATCTATGGTTACTCCCAAAAGTTTGACGGACTCCTCACAATGAAATACAATATTGACGGCCTCCTCACAATGAAATACAATATTGCGCCAATGTTAAATGGCCTGTCAACCATCTTGGTTTTCTGATCAGACGGACGGACCACAGATGAAGGGTGATTTGAAAATTAAAAGCCCAACATCTGATGATGGTGGGCTAACATTCACGGATTCATTAAAGTCTATTAATGTTTGGATATATTGGTGACTATATCATTATTGTAATTTGTTCAGTAAGGCAAAAAGAATACTTACATATAAGTTTGTTTTGAACTAGAATAATCTAAAAAAATAACATGCAATTTGCGAGTTAATATGTAATAGATTAAAACTCTGAAAAATAACAAAACTTGAAATTTCAGGGGTCGTACTAGGGACATTGAGTGCCACTCCTAAACTATAAATGTTGTAAGTCAGGAATGGTAAAGTAAATATAAAATAATTTTCATAAAACAAATAAACTACACAGCGAGAATGCAAAAAAAACATCATTTATTGAAATTGCAAACTGTAATTTCAAACGTTCAACTGTGATTGTGAAATTCGTGCAATAGTCTATAACTTATAGCAGGGACAGTATAGATAACGTGTACAGTGCGCCTATACTACAGTACGGCATTGAACTTCTCCTGATCAAAGGTCGTTTCAGGTAACATTACCGGCTACTCACTGCCCGGCATCCCACATTTAAGTTACCTGTGCAATACCTGCTCCCATCTGTCCGCCTCCTATCACAGTCACACATTTTATAGCTTCTGCACGCATTGCAGATGTGGAAAACCTTCGAATGCACGTATTTACGAAGTGAGCCATGATAAAGCGGGGGTCGACTATCTTCAACTTCGAAACTGTCTACCGGCTTGTACTGTAGATGCCTACTTCCGGTTCCTGTCAAATCGAAAGTAGTTGCTGCGATTTTTGTATAGACTATTTACGTAGTTTTCAATGTAACATTGAAATATACGATAACAAATTGAATTCCTTTCCTTTGGTCAACATTTTTTGTTGTTCTATCGACAGAGACGTATTTATTGTAACAACCTTAACTTGTCCATACTGTTGGAATTACTTCTTTGCCCCATATGCATGTTGTAATATATATATATACATACGTCTCTACTAATTCAATATGTAACCTTACTTTTTAAAATGTTACGGAAGATTGTAATTCAGGCATCGCCTGGAGAGAGCGAAGCTCGTACATTTGTTTCGATAGTATAGTATAATTTTTGAATCATAACATTACCCATTTTAATACATACAAAATGTACCTGTATTTTTTTATATAATATACTCGAATCTGTTGCTGGGCAAAATCATTCATTTTGAAAACAGGCATTGCCTGAAACGAGAGAAGCGTCTAAATGCTGTTTTTTTTTTCAATTTTATTTTCTAAATACCACAGTCCATAACACACTTACACACCCTCACATACACACATATATATAATATGCATTAAGGAGACTACTGTAACGTAATGCTTGATGCTTGTCATTTTTTGTAAGCTTCATTGTTTTTAATGAAATAGAAGAGACAAAACTGATTTAATGGCTTGTAAAAAGAAACTTTTTTAACACGTCTAAATACATTTTGTACATTTTAAAAGCATGGCAATGTATTGTCCTTAACACATTACAAACTCTACCAGCAATTGGCCTGCCGCCTTATTATATATAAATGAATCTCGAATCCCCATTGACTTCCCACCTTGAACCTCTGAAATACACTAAATGCTATGTTGATATGGGTCACAGCATTATGTGTTCTGTGACCCATAAGTTATCAGTATAGCGTGGAGTAGGGAGGGGGCGGGGCCATCATGTTGTGACACATACTCCTATACATTACTATACACATAACTCCTACCTATTACGCTACACATTACTCCTATACATTACTCCTACACATTACTCTATACATTACACATTACTCCACACATTACTCCTATACATTACTCTACACATTACTCCTATGTAATGTGTCGAGTAATGTATAGTGTAGGAGTAATATGTAGGAGTAATGTATAGGAGTAATGTGTAGGAGTAATGTGTAGAATAATGTGTAGGAGTAATGTGTAGGAGTAATGTGTAGGAGTAATGTGTGAGTAATGTATAGGAGTAATGTATAGGAGTTATGTGTAGGAGCAATGTGTAGAGTAATGTGTAGGAGTAATGTGCAGGAGAAATGTGTAGTAATAATGTGTAGTAGTAATGTGTAGAGTAATGTATAGGAGTAATGTATAGGAGTAATGTGTAGAGTAATGTGTAGAGTAATGTGTAGGAGTAATGTGGAGGAGTAATGTGGAGGAGTAATGTGTGAGTAATGTATAGGAGTAATGTATATGAGTTATGTGTAGGAGTAATGTATATGAGCATCGTGTAGCGTAATGTGCAGGAGTAATGTGTAGAGTAATGTGTAGGAGTAATGTGTAGTAGTAATGTATATGAGTAATGTGTAGGAGTAATGTATAGGAGCATCGTGTAGCGTAATGTGTAGGAGTAGTGTGTAGGAGTAATGTGTAGTAGTAATGTATAGGAGTAATGTGTAGGAGTAATGTGTAGAATAATGTGTAGAGTAATTTATCGGAGTAATGTGTAGGAGTAATGTGTGAGTAATGTATAGGAGTAATGTGTAGAGTAATGTGTATGAGTAATGTGTAGAGTAATCTGTAGGAGTAATATGTAGGAGTAATGTGTAGGAGTAATGTGCAGGAGTAATGTGGTGGAGTAATGTGTAGGAGTAATGTGTGAGTAATGTATAGGAGTAATGTATAGGAGTTATGTGTAGGAGTAATGTGTAGAGTAATGTGTAGGAGTAATGTGCAGGAGAAATGTGTAGGAGTAATGTGTAGAGTAATGTGTAGAGTAATGTGTAGGAGTAATGTGTAGAGTAATGTGTAGGAGTAATGTGTAGTAATGTGTAGAGTAATGTGTAGTAGTAATGTGTAGAGTAATGTGTAGGAGTAATGTGTAGAGTAATGTGTAGGAGTAATGTGTGAGTAATGTATAGGAGTAATGTATAGGAGTTATGTGTAGGAGTAATGTATAGGAGTAATGTGTAGGAGTAATGTGTATAATAATGTGTAGAGTAATTTATCGGAGTAATGTGTAGGAGTAATGTGTGAGTAATGTATAGGAGTAATGTATAGGAGTAATGTGTAGAGTAATGTGTAGAGCAATGTGGAGTAATGTGTAGGAGTAATGTGTAGAGTAATCTGTAGGAGTAATGTGTAGGAGTAATGTGCAGGAGTAATGTGTAGGAGTAATGTGTGAGTAATGTATAGGAGTAATGTATAGGAGTTATGTGTAGGAGTAATGTGTAGAGTAATGTGTAGGAGTAATGTGCAGGAGAAATGTGTAGGAGTAATGTATAGGAGTAATGTGTATGAGTAATGTGTAGGAGAAATGTGTAGAGTAATGTGTAGGAGTAATGTGTAGTAATGTGTAGGAGTAATGTGTAGTAGCAATGTGTAGAGTAATGTATAGGAGTAATGTGTAGGAGTAATGTGTAGGAGTAATGTGGAGTAATGTGTAGAGTAATGTGTAGGAGTAATGTGTAGAGTAATGTATAGGAGTAATGTGTAGGAGTAATGTGTAGAGTAATGTGTAGGAGTAATGTATAGGAGTAATGTGTAGAGTAATGTGTGGAGAAATGTGTAGAGTAATGTGTAGGAGTAATGTGTGAGTAATGTAAAGGAGTAATGTATAGGAGTAATGTGTAGGAGTAATGTGTAGAGTAATGTGTAGGAGTAATGTGTAGGAGTAATGTGTAGTAATGTGTAGAGTAATGTGTAGTAGTAATGTGTAGAGTAATGTATAGGAGTAATGTGTAGGAGTAATGTGTAGGAGTAATGTGTAGGAGTAATGTGGAGTAATGTGTAGAGTAATGTGTAGTAGTAATGTGTAGGAGTAATGTGTGAGTAATGTAAAAGAGTAATGTATAGGAGTTATGTGTAGGAGTAATGTGTAGAGTAATGTGTAGCAGTAATGTATAGGAGTAATGTGTAGGAGTAATGTATAGGAGTAATGTGTAGGAGTAATGTATAGGAGTAATGTGTAGGAGTAATGTATAGGAGTAATGTGTAGGAGTAATGTGTAGAGTAATGTGTAGGAGTAATGTGTAGGAGTAATGTGTAGTAGTAATGTATAGGGGTAATGTATAGGAGTAATGTGTAGAGTAAATGTGTAGATGTGTAGGAGTAAAGGGTAGGAGTAATGTGGAGTAATGTGTAGCGTAATGTGTAGGAGTAATGTGTAGAGTAATGTGTAGGAGTAATGTGTAGTAGTAATGTATAGGGGTAATGTATAGGAGTAATGTATTGGAGTAATGTGTAGATGTGTAGGAGTAAAGGGTAGGAGTAATGTGGAGTAATGTGTAGGAGTAATGTGTAGGGTAATGTGTAAGAGTAATGTGTGAGTAATGTATAGTAGTAATGTATAGGAGTTATGTGTAGGAGTAATGTGTAGAGTAATGTGTAGGAGTAATGTGTAGAGTAATGTGTAGGAGTAATGTATAGGGGTAATGTATAGGAGTAATGTGTAGATGTGTAGGAGTAAAGGGTAGGAGTAATGTGGAGTAATGTGTAGGAGTAATGTGTAGTAGTAATGTATAAGGGTAATGTATAGGAGTAATGTGTAGAGTAATGTGTAGAGTAATGTGCAGGAGTAATGTATAGAGTAATGTGTAGGAGTAATGTATAGGAGTAATGTGTAGAGTAATGTGTAGAGTAATATAGAGTAATGTGTAGAGTAATGTGTAGAGTAATGTGGAGTAATGTGTAGCGTAATGTGTAGGAGTAATGTGTAGGAGTAATGTATAGGAGTAATGTGTAGAGTAATGTGTAGAGTAATGTGTAGAGAAATGTATAGGAGTAATGTGTAGAGTAATGTGTAGAGTAATGTGTAGAGAAATGTGCAGGAGTAATGTGTAGGAGTAATGTATATGAGTAATGTGTAGAGTAATGTGTAGAGTAATATGAAGTAATGTGTAGAGTAATGTGTAGAGTAATGTGGAGTAATGTGTAGCGTAATGTGTAGGAGTAATGTGTAGAGTAATGTGTAGAGTAATGTGTAGAGAAATGTATAGGAGTAATGTGTAGAGTAATGTGTAAAGTAATATGGAGTAATGTGTAGAGTAATGTGTAGAGTAATGTGGAGTAATGTGTAGCGGAATGTGTAGGAGTAATGTGTAGAGTAATGTGTAAGAGTAATGTGTGAGTAATGTATAGTAGTAATGTATATGAGTTATGTGTAGGAGTAATGTGTAGAGTAAAGTGTAGAGTAATATGCAAGAGTAATGTGTAGGAGTAATGTGTAGAGTAATGTGTAGAGTAATGTATAGGAGTAATGTGTAGAGTAATGTGTAGAGTAATGTGCATGAGTAATGTGTAGAGTAATGTGTAGGAGTAATGTATAGGAGTAATGTGTAGAGTAATATGGAGTAATGTGTAGAGTAATGTGTAGGAGTAATAATAAGAAATCTCTACCATCATGGCTGCAGTAAACAGTGATTTTTTCACGGAAGCTCAACCCTCACAACTCGCCTTTTTTGAATAACCTTTAACACAGACAATTGTAGAGAATATATATTATCAAGACGTTCTTCCTATTTCGCAAGTCGTCGGCGATGCCCCCATCGAGTTCGTCATTTCCGGTCAAAATGGTATGGAATACATCGATCTGAAAAACACAATGATATCGGTGAAAGCTAAAATAAAAAAAAAGCGATGGAACCAACATTGGTGTAGATGAGAACATTGGGCCTGTAAACTTGTTTCTACCTGCCATGTTTTCACAAGTACATGTGGCGTTACAGGGAAAGCCTGTGGTGTCTTCAACGAACCATCACTGTTAAACTTTGGTTATGACGCCAAA